CAGAGTGGGTGAACAGGGCACTCATGTGTGCCTGTCTGTGCAGCACAAGGTGTGGCTGCAGAGTTGTGTTGTGGTACCCAAAATAGATCTAAACCTGCCAGCTTGGGAACTGAGAGTTATGCAGGTGCAGCTCAGTAAAGATTAACCCTTGATTCAGGGTCCCAAGGGAGGAGAGAGGAGGGGGTGGGCTCATAACCCCTGATGTCCCCTTACTGCTCTGGCTACTCTCTTTTCAGTACCTGGGTTGTGGCAGGGATGCTGCACAGTGTGCTGTCAGATGAGGTGCAGTCACCTTTGGAGTCCAAATACCTCCTTGGGAAATGCAGCTTTTGTTCCCTTTCTGTTCCCTTTCTCAGGACCAAGACTAATGCACTAGGGGTAAGGAAAGTACAAGGTTTTGCTTTCAGTGCAGCTTTTAGGCAGCACAATGGGGTAATAGGAGTCTGATGAACACATTCATGCTGCAGATCAAGTCTGCAGTCTCCATTTATCTGTTTCCTTCCCCCTTTTTGCTGAACCCTTTCCTTTCATTCTTTCCCTTGTGTTTCAGTCCTTCATTTTATTTGGTCTCACTGAAATTGAGCCAGTGTAAAATCTACTTTTCCTAATAGCTATTTCAGCTATTGAAAGTTCATGGATTGGATCCTTCAGCTAAATTAAATCAAAGGTGGCTGTTCCTTGCCTGGGGAAATCTTACGTGTTTGAGTTAGATCTGCTCAGGAAGACAAACAGGTGCAAACTCACTGGATTAACCCAAATATAAACTTTTTAGTACCAGGTTCATTTTAAAAAGTCTTTTTTCACTGGTGTTTGTGTTCCCAAATTTCATTACCAGCATCTAAGCCATTTTAAAAAAAATGATGTTTTGATTCAGACACAGAGTTAGATCCTAAAAGCTATGCAGGCTGTTAAATTATAAAGTAATTTGGGTTGAAAGGGACCTTTAAAGGTCATCTAGTCCAACCCCTCCCGAGAAGAGCAGACATCTTCAACTACATCAGGTTGTCCAGAGCCCTGTCCAACCTGACCTTGAATGTTTCCAGGGCATCTACCACCTCTTTGGGCAGCCTGGTGCAACAATTCACCACCCTCATCATCAAAAAATATCTTCCTTATATCTAGGCTAAACCTACCGTCTCTTTAAAGAATGGTTTAAAACGATCACCCCTAGCTGTATCACAACAGGCCCTGCTAAAAAGTTTGTTCTCATCTTTCTTATAAGCACCCTTTAAGTACTGACAACTCCTGTATGGTCTTCTTGGAGCCTTCTCTTCTTCAGACTGAACAACTCCAGCTCTCTTGGTCTTTCCTCATAGGGTGCTCCATAACTCTGATAATTTCTGTGGATATTTAAATGCAGGTATCCAGTGCAATTTCAGCTGTGTGAGTGTCTGAGACATCCTTACACCCTTGGCAGATGCCAGTGTAGCTGCAGAAGTCTTATTCTCTCCCCGAGTGGCAGCAGGAGGTCAGACAGGATCTGACAAAGCAACTTCCTAGCTGTGCTATCCATGAAGGAGAGTGTCAGTAGACTGAGACCTGAATTCCTGAATGGATATTCTCCCCTTGTAATTGCTGTGCTATCAATTTAGGGGTATGTTCTATTTACGTCACAGGAAGGAATTCAGTTGTTTTTAGCCCTGCTAAATTCTGACTTTTATCATGTGCAGGAACAGTATGAACTTGGTCACAGCCAACACATGCTCATCAGTGAAGTCCTGCTGTGAGTGTATGCATGTCTCTGTTTTGATGGTTATGGTATTTGTGGGTGCAGTTGTTGGGAATATCAGCATAAGACACTCTCCTTCACAAAAAAATTAAATTAATTGTCAGCTCATGTCATGGGCCTCTGAGCAGTATTTGGTCTCTGCTATATTAGGACCTAGGGCTACAGAGCTGCCCATATCAGCTAGTTCCTGACTGTGCTAAATGCAGGGCTGGGTTCCCTTGCACCAACAATGAAACCAGGCTGATTCCCTACCCTTATAATAACGACCAGCCCAACCAGATCATCTTTCATGTAAAACTCAAAAATTTTGATTAGTGCCTTCTCCCCACTAAAAATAGTAACTCAAAAACACCCACCCCAAACCCAGAGCAAAAAAAGAAAAACCTGTTTTCTCTTCCTTACCTTTGGGGAGTGATTTATTACAGCTCTTGTGCCAGCTGTTTGTTGTACTGCAGCATGAGAGCTGGGGCTGTACTGACTCTCCACCCACTCACTTGCAGTTTAGAGTAGCAGGTCACTGAATCCCTCCTGCTTTAGCCATCAGATGCATGACCTCTACCAGTCTGTGGAAGTGGCAGGGAGGGATTTGCAGCCTGATTTTTTCATGTGTGGATGCTTAGGGCAGATGTGTTACATTTGCCTTTGGCAGCTTGGCCTGTGAAATTTGTATTTCTGTATAACCTGTATCAATAAACCTGGTGACAAGTGGCTGTGGGCTACTTATAATGCAGCTAACAGTGGATGTCAGGTTCAGTGTAAGCATAAGATAATTTAATTTTTTTGTCTTAAACAAAGGAAGCTCAAATTTCAGGAAGAAATTTATATAAAATATCACATGCCACTATAAAAAACCCCGCCGTATTTCTGGTTTCTGAAGTAGTGTTTCATTGCTTTCTGATTTGGAAGGAACATCTCTCAAGGAGCACCAGCAAATAAGACTTAACATTTTTGGGTTTTAATTAAAGTGCTTCTTGGAAAATGAGCTAAAAATAAGCACTGTCTAGTGGATGCTCTTATTCTCCCAGAGCAGTCACGCACTTGCCTGCTCTTATTACGTCAGGTGGGTGAAGGAAGCCACATGGATGACTGTACCATATATTTTGGTCATCTTTTACTCTTGAAAGAAATTAAATGAGTGCTTACCCGTTTGGCTCTGCACATTTGTTTCTTCAGATGCTCTTGGAGTTTTCACAGTATTTCCCATTGCGCTCTCGAATTCCGTCAAAGCAGTTCAGAACTAAATCAAAGGAGACATTGAAATTCAACATCAGAGTAACACCTGCTGTGCCAACAGATGAGAAATGACCTAGTTTGGGCGTCTCCAGTTTTATGCAGTTTTGCTTTTGAGAACTCTTATGTCAAATTCTTGTGAGAGTTTTACATACTGGCTATACTCTCACCACTTTGGTGCTTTTGTCAGGGGAATAGCAGAAAACCACAGCTAGGGAAGTTGCTCAGAAGAAGGTGATGTAGTAAAAGTTTCCATTACCAGTACCTCGGCACAATAGGAAGTTACAGCTGAGCCATGCCCATTAAGTCTTTTCATATACAAAATGTTCTTTTCAGTATTTGGAGTCCTGAAGCTACAAAGGAACTAATTAGATTGATGGAGCTGGTTTTCAGTGCTGTGCATATATCATGTTGCTTTACTACCAAACACAAAGAACATTGCTTGGTAGGGATTTTTCCTGATGCAATTGTTTTCTCAGCAAATGTGAGCAATGTTATTAATTCGTTCAGTTTTTTTCTTCCTTTCTTTCTTGGTCTCAAAACACTCTTCCTATATAAATCCAGTGGTGCAAATTCTTCACATACTTGTCTTAAAATGTCTTAATGGGTGTACAAGAAACAGTATCAGACAATTTTGGAACTAAATACTGAGAGGAACAGTTTCTTCTCATGGCTTTGCAGCACCCGTCCTAATTCTCCCTAGCAGAGGACAGAGAGATCTCTTTGGATGTGGAAGGTGTCTCATGCTATGGTATACTTTCAGAGGCAGAGGAGAATAAGCTGTAGCTATTTAAAAACTGTACATTAAAACAAAATAACACAACTAGCTGATAGGTATCTTTAAAAAACATATTTCTGTCAATTGTCCTGTGAAAATGATAATAGGAGCTCTAGCAGCATCGTGTGGGGATTCTGTATCTTTTGGTCTTTTCTAGCTTAAATATTTCAAAGATATTCAGATATGATACTGCCTTTGGTGTGCTGCTCTTTACTTATAACAGGCTATAACCTGATGGTGTTGATTGGAGAGGTGTCCAACCTAAGAAGCAGAACTGCTGACATCAGCAGGACTTTATTACTAAGATTGGCAAAACTGAGTATGTTGATTAATACCACAAATTTTTTATGTCTTACAGAAATTTTAGGAAGACACCCCACAGAAATGCCATTCAAAAGAAAGAGAATTTCTCTCTCATCAAATGCAAGTAGAGCAGTGCTCGAACAGATGGTAGTGCACAGTTTGACTCTACTTTATCTGATTTCTAAGCTTCTTAGTGCTTGTCCCCAAAGGCTCTTTGCTAGAAGTCTGTATTTCACTTGCCAAGTGGCACATCACCCTTTTGCTGTCTGCACTCAGAAGTAGCTTGTGGTACATCTGTAGGATGCAGCTGTGCCAGCATCTTTTTAACAAGTGTCTGAAATCTACTTTCACAAGAACAAAAAAAATGTTTCCTTGCCTGATAGAAGTCTAGAAGCTGAATAAAACAGCAGCCTTTAAATTTAAATAAACTATTTGGGTATTCGTGTTTGGAAGAAAAGGGTCTCTTTAGGTAGAAAAAAAAATCTTTATCCATTTAAATCAAGTATGTTTCTAAAACCGAAACCAGAATTCACTTTGTCAGGCACTGTCTGCTTGCAAGATCATACTTTCCTGATCTGACTTTGAATATTTTTCCACAAGACTCAATTTTAATTTATTGAACATTTTTCTCAGTTGTACCCCATCCAGAGTAAGAGGTATATACATTGGAATAGTGCAGCCAGTATTTTGGCTACAGATATTATAGATGTTCTTGGCTCATCTTCAAATTAGCCAGAAAAATTTCCTGGGCACAGCAATAGACAGCTCAACAGGGCTGAAAAGGTCAGCCAAGAAAGTGGGATAAATACCTGGACAGATAACCTCTGCTGAGCTCTGCACTGCATTTTTGCAGTAATTTCTAAGGGAAACTCAAATCTAACTCTGCATATAGTAACTACGCTGCAGTTACCAAAAATGTTGAATTCCAGATAGATGGCAAGAATTGCAGCATAAACATCTTATGCCCACCTATAATTTTGACATATGCAATTGTTATTTAGATGAAAATAGCTTGAATTTTGTGTCCCAAACGACTGAAAAAAATTAAAAAGAAGTCATACTTCTATGTACCCCTTTATTCTGGGTCTTGGTATTTGAGGGCCAGGAGAGCAAGTCATCCTACTCTTGTCAGACTTGTGACCAAATGCTTTCAAGGGCTTTTTTCCTACTCTTAATTTCAGGTGTGCCTGTGTCACTTTGAAAAGTGACACGCAGTATTTGAATGCAATGGAAAGTCTTACAAAAATTTTACCTTACACTTACAAACTTTCTAAAAGCATGGCACATTTGAGCAAGGTACCTGCATTTCTCTAGCCCATATTTAGTGATCTAAACTCTAAACATTGCTTTAAAAATGCCTGAAGTGTTTTTGTAGGTTTGCTTATATGTAGTTTGCAATTAAATCACTGTCTAGTCCAAAGAGGTTAAGTATCAGACAACGGTCAAGTTCCTACTTCCTATTTTTGCAGAGCACCCCCAAAACTGGCTCACTTCTGCTGTGCCAGTCATCATTCTTCTCTAAGGACCTCTGAAGTCATCAGGACAAACTGTGCAGCTCCTTGCTGCTGCTTTAGATGTGGAAGCATCTAACTTACGGAAAATACCAATGTTACAGTGTAGTTACAGTAACAGGGGAAAGCAATGTTATCTTGGACTTTGATGTCACTAGCGTGACAGTTTGCATTTCTCACTGCATTTTCCGTGCCCTTTTACTGTCATTACCATTGGTGGCAGCATAAAGTCTTGAAAGGGACAGGGAATTCAAGATGTTCGCTGAGACTCATGGCAGAAGGGTTCAACACAAATGGAAAACTGTCACCTTTGCGGTTCATTTACTTATCCAAAGTGATTTAAAGGAAAATGACAAACATCAGACAAGGCTTTACTACTAATGCCATGTGTAATTCTGTACTTGGGCAGAGTAAAGGTGCCTATAGTCCAGTCAAAGGTGATGGACTGAATGCTCTGAGGTATGGCTCAACTTGCAGATATCTGAAAATGGGATGGAAATGGAAGGAACTGGAAGCTTTGTTTGAAATAGGGCAGGCAGAAGGCTGTTTCTACTTGCTTACTGGCAAAGGCATGTCTGTGTTTCTAGAGTAAGAGTGTATGAATTAGAATTGTAAGCATTTCTAAAACAATGGTGCACTTCACTACCGAGTGATAGAACTTAATGGCCTAAATAGCTCATGCTTATGTTGAGTATTGGCAACACAATACAACCCATTGTGTTGCTATATGATAAATTGTTTGGTGGTTTTCTGAAATTTTGAGACACTGCAAAAATAGACTTGCCACAAACTTTAGAGCGTCTTGCAGCTGAGCCAGGATTTATCATTGAAGTCATAGCAGAACAGTGACAGATTATAATCTTTTGAAATAGTGAATCTGCTTCAGGCACTGCATCTCACTGAAACTAAAGAATAACTTGAGTTGGAAGGGACCTTTAACGGTCACCTAGTCCAATCCCCTTGCCATGGGCAGTGACATCTGCAACTCAATCATGTTGTTCAGAGTCCCATCCAGCCTGGCCTTAAATATTTACAGGGATTGGACATCTACCACCTCTCTGGGCAACCTGTGCCAGTGTTTCAGCACCAAAATCATAAAAAAATTTGTTCCTCATATCTCAACTTGATGACAGAGTTTGGTATACAAGTAGAGGTGCCATCCCTCTGTTGCAGAAGCTGATAATGATACCAGATCCAAAAAAAAAATAATCACTGAGGGTGATTTGGGAAGAATTAAGGAGAAATTATAGACTTTAAACTCGCTGTGTCTCATCAACCCCAAGCCCTGCATGGAGGAGTACAGCTGCTGTGCAACTTGGAGGAACCGCTGGGCTGCAAACCAAATCTACCTATAGCTCTCCCTGCTCACCAGCCACCTCTTTGGGCTTGCATGGAAATTCGATTTTAACCATTAAGATCACATTTGCAGTGTTCCATTGGTCCTTCCTCCCCTCCCCTTTGCACTTGTGCACATGCTGTTCAGGGAAAGGCAGTCACTGCAGCCATGGCTGTTTGTACATGCACAGCTCATGGGGTTTAGTGATCTTTGCTGCCAAAAGGAAGGTGAAGAAACACATACAGTCCCAGTCCTGCTTTGTGTCCTATTTATCAATGGCAGAACTCTCAGTAGATATGAATTCTTCACCTGCCAAGACTGGAATCCCACTGACCTACATTGTGGGTCCCCAAAACCTATGGTACAATTTTCCCCTTCCGTTTCTGTGTGCAGCACATGTAGCAATAACTTCCTCTTGCAGAATTTGTTCTCTGAAAAAATGTGCATCTGGAGCAGTTAAAAAGCATGGAACATAGGAAAGTCTGTCACTGTATAAGAACTTTTTGAAGTTGTATTTAAAATTATTGAGAATTAGTAAACACAAAGAAATGAAAATAATAAGAAAAACAAAAAGGCAAGATAAGCACCTGAGTAAAGCCTCTCTGCAGAGAATACTGCAGACTAAGATAATTAGGACATTCATAATTTCTGAGATGCTATACACTATTTTATTTTTGTTTCCTGATATTCACATTTATACCACCATGGTCTTACAGTTTAATTCTCAATAAGGTTCACAGGTAATGTCTGAATCCCATTTAAAGCACCAGCATCCTATTATATTTCATGTGGGAAAGAAAGAAACAAACCAAAAAGAGCTTTGATTTCAGAAGCTGTATCATTTTTTTGTGAATTTCCTTTGTCATTAATCAAAATGCACATCCTTTCAGCTTTGAGATGCTTGTACTTTTGCACTTAGAAAGAACAACATAATATTGTCATCAAAGTAATTCATTGAAACATGCAACCATGAAACAACACAGAAATACCACATTATGCATACTTCTAACACTGAATAAAAAGCCCACTAAGCTGTGGGCTCATATTTTGGGTTATATTGGAAAGCAGGGTGCTTCAGCACAAGGTCCTAAGTATCTATCTTACTGCAAGCTTTCAGTAGAAATACTCCTTCCCCCTTCTATCTTTAGTACCACTCCTTGTGAAAAGGATCAAGGCAGGCTCTTCTATTTCTACCTTTGAAGGTACTTGAAATGCATGGTCTGAATACTGTC